TTAGTATGTCATTAATTGGAGTCGTTTTTGGTGTGAAGTCAAATTTTTATCATTGTAAAAACTTTAAGGCCCAATTGCTCAACAATTGTATTTCTGGGTTGGTTCCTCTCTGCAAAAAGCCGTCCAAATATGGTCAGCAAAAAGGCCAAAGATGGACTAGGGTCGACTACTACCGCTCATATTGTTCATCCAAAATCCGCAGAATGTCAAGTTACAATGCACAAGGTGCAAAAGGCTGTCTGTGGAGAACGTAAAACAGACTTGTGCAGTATGCATTTAACATCGAAAAATAATTTTTTTATGGAAAGTTAAATCAAGTTAAAATGTGTCTAGTATTCAGACAGAAAGACTAGACGTCACTTTAAATGTCTTTTGTTAATTTGCAAAGCAGTATTCAATTTTTGTTTGATTTTTAAATAAAGTTTAAATTGTCGTCTTATTTCTTGCGGTAGCATTTAAATAGATATTTTAAGTTGTAATGTACGTCAAAAAGTTAATGTTAGACATATGTGCTAATTATTAAATAATTATTATTCTAGGGTTAAAGCAATCGAATTGCGAGAATTTAACTTTACGCTACTCTACAGGTAATTGATTATTTCCTTTTTTCTGAGAAGTGCAATATTTTAAGGTTTTCTTTTTGTGGCGATCTGTGTTGTAAACTATTCCATTTAGGTTAAGGTATTGTTGCGTATTTATTCCGCTCAAAGTAGTCATGATCGTTCTCGAACAGATCGCTCACCGCAGTGTTGCCGCTACTTGTGCTTATTATGAGAATCTACAAAGCTTACGGAAGCTGTATGATTCTTACACCTTTTTAAAATATCTTGTGAGCAACCAGAATTGCCTTTGTTTGATCGACGGGTTAGCGGCCACTGTTCTAGGCTGTTGCGAAAGCATTTACAACGAACTAAACGTCATTCATTAACAAATGTCGAGCATTCCAAGACATTTCAATATTCCCTTCTAACACCTCAGCTCCACCCTCTTGTTCCGTATTTCCCTTTACTCGTTCTTCTCCCTTCCAGTGATAAGCGGGCAAATCCAAGAAAGTTTTGTGCTCCAGCTCAGCGACTTAATAAGGTTGTAAAAAACTTGTTAAAGTCCATCGCTATATTTAGTGACCCTCACCTAACGACATCGTTGGGAAAGTCAACGAATGAAGTAAAGAGTTATGAATTTTTGATTTGATGGAGATTCCTGGAATGAGATAGTCCCAGGATACTAAGTAAATATATTTCGGTAACTCCCGTTTTGGGGGAACAGCACCGATGCTATGCGGTGTCATTTATAATTAATGGCAATTTGAAAAGGAGCAAATTGCAGGGGAATAAATGTTTGGTGAGATGCTATAGATAATTAGATACATAATTTAGTTGCTAGAATATACGCTTGCCAAGAATTACGTTTTAAGGGGTCGAGCTAAAATAAACTGGACAGCTGCTTTGCACGCTTCTCCTTGCTCGTCTGATTGGTGGCCTTTTGAATAATCATACTTTTAATGTAAGGTGTGATGGCGGTGAACTAATTTCCACCCTTGTTGATTATTTTTGAACAAATAAGTTAACCGAGATCTTAAGGTCCACAAAGTCAACTAAGTATGAACCAAATTCAATACGGTCTTGCATCTCGATTAGGCAAAAGGTATAAATGTACGCTGTGCGTCAGTACTTAACCAAGAGCCGACTGCGTAGGTAAACAAAGCATTCATTTGTGTACAAGTCGCTTCTAAAGAATAAAAAACAAAAATATAGTAATATTTAACATGTCTATATGATTTTGATTTACGGCGAGTGTCTCCAAAATGCTACCGACGCTTCGCGAGTGTATGCAGATCGTTTTCCGGAAATTTTATATCCAGATCGCGTAAATTTGCGTACCTTGATAGCCAGAGTGGGTATATTGGGAACGTAGACAACCCCAGATGGTGCAAACTGGGTAATAAGTATTGAGGAAAATGATTCGACAAGCACTAGGAAGTAGCTAGATAAGTACTGGTATTTAAGAGTATAGAGTGCTGTGTGATGTTCTATTGTACCCTTTCCACATACAATATGTACAAGCCAGGCAGATTGAGGATTTTCCTGCAGATAATCCAAATCCATATTCGTTAGGGACGAATCAACTTTCACAAGACATGAATAGTTTACGGATTACCCAGACGCGTTCTGGTATGGTCATTGGACCATTTATTCATTTATTGATCAGGCTGTTTGCAATACCTAGATTTTCTACAAAATATCTTACCAACATTGCTAGAACATGTGCCTTTGTGTGTCAGATAGTTCATCTTGGTTCTCAGTAACGGTGCACCACCCATTTTAGACGCGAGATTTCTTAAATGAAATATTTCCAATTGGGTGGATTGTAGTAATGGACTCATAGATCGGCCTCCGCGATATCCAGACTTACCACTCTGTGATGTATTCCTTTGAGATGAAATGAACTGATTAGTGTATACAGGGTGTCCAGAAGTCGACGTTATACCGAAACCGGGTGATAGGCAAAGTCATAACAGCTATCAGAAAAATATTTAAAAAAATTTTATGTATGTGTTTTGAACATTATAGGTCTTTGAAAAAAATATATAAATTTCACACCCTACAGTCTGTCAACTCCTGTTACTACAAATATTAACTTTTTTTGGATTTTATTTTTACAATATAATGATGAATAATGCATCTTCAAACTGGTGTCTCAACCTTACTGCCAACTTTTCTCGTTCAGGAAAAATTGCCACTTATTTCCCAACCAAGTATTCCAAAGTAAAACTTTGCTCAACTTTAACTGGCTGTACTGGAAAAAATGTACTAGGAGAGTTTCGCAAGTAACCTTAAAAGTTGGCGCATTTAATAAGGATTCCAAAATGGTATAACACTTAGAAGATTACTAGTTAACTTATGCACAATTTTTATTTGAAGAAAAACTGATGAAAATTTTTCAAAATTTCCTAATTAAACAGCGATTATGAAAACGCACAAGGATCGTTAAGGATAACTCTTTGCACAACAGTGGGCATCAAAATGCTGCTGATGATGATTTGCCTTTACAGCAAATGCCCAAACTGTTTTCCTTCAGCCGCAATACACGCTCGACATCTTCTTAAAAAAGATCGGGTTATTAAACGAGCGAATCCACGGTTATTAACAAACTCAGCTGCTTCAAATAGTCTTTGCCGTAGCTCAGCTACATTTTGAATCGGCTTGAAATACACTTTTTCTTTTACAGTTCCCCAGTAAAAAAATCTAAAGGATGCAAATCAGGTGATCGGGCTGGCCACGGTATTGTACCAGACCGCCTTATCTATCTGCCTGGAAAGTTTTGATCGAGATACTCTCTCACTAAGAGTGCATAGTGCGCTGGGCAGCCATCATGCTGAAACCACATGTCCCTGTAAATACTCAGTGGCACGTCCACCAATAAATTTTGTTCATGATTTTTCAAAAAATCCAAATAAACTTCAGCAGTCAAAGTCTCTGGGAACTCAAACGGACCGATTATTTTACCATTTAAAATTCCTGTCCAATGGTTTATCTTAAAGCGATATTGAGGTTTATCTTCTCTCATCAAATGTGGGTTTGCTACGTGCCAGTCGTGTAAGTTATGCAGGATCATGTACCCATCTTTCTTAAATATGGTCTCATCCGACCATAAAATTTTTTCAAAGAACTATGGATCTTTCCTATGTCTTTCCAACATTGTGCGACAAAAAGCAACTCGGGGCTCATAATCCCGGGGCAGGAGAGGTTGGACACGCTGTATGTGGTATGGATGAAGCACATCACTTACTTGCTATTGCACACTTTGATACCGATCAGTACTCCTTCGTTTACTGCGCATCTTTACATACACGTGCTTGTTGATTTCGTATTGTTACTAATTTTGGATTCGTGAACTGGACATGTGGTTTCAGCATGATGGCTGCCCAGCGCACTATGCACTCTCAGTGAGAGAGTATCTCGATCAAAACTTTCCAGGCAGATGGATAGGGCGGTCTGGTACAATACCGTGGCGATCCCGGTCACCAGATTTGAATCAGTTAGATTTTTTTACTGGGGAACTGTAAAAGAAAAAGTGTATTTCAAGCCGATTCAAAACGTAGCTGAGCTACGGCAAAGACTATTGGAAGCAGCTGAGTTTGTTAACAACCGTGGATTCGCTCGTTTATTAACCCGATCTTTTTTAAGAAGATGTCGAGCGTGTATTGCGGCTGAAGGAAAACAGTTTGAGCATTTGCTGAAAAGGTAAATCACCATCAGCAGCATTTTGACGCCCACTGTTGTGCAAACAGTTATCCTTAAGGGTCCTTGTGCCTTGTGCGTTTTCATAATTGCTGTTTACTTATGAAATTTTGAAAAATTTTCATCAGTTCTTCTTCAAATAAAAATTGTGCATAAGTTAACGAGTAATCTTCTAAGTGTTATACCATTTTGGAATCCTTATTAAATGCCCCAACTTTTAAGGTTACTTGCCAAACTCTCTTAGTACATTTTTTTCCAGTACAGCCAGTTAAAGTTGAGCAAAGTTTTACTTTGGAATACTTGGTTGGGAAATAAGTGGCAATTTTTCCTGAACGAGAAAAGTTGGCAGTAAGGTTGAGACATCAGTTTGAAGATACATTATTCATCATGACATTGTAAAAATAAACTCCATAAAAAGTTAATATTTGTAGTAACAGGAGTTGACAGACTGCCGTAGAATGTGAAATTTCTATATTTGCTTCAAAGACCTATAATAATCAAAACACATACATAAATTTTTTTTAAATATTTTTCTGATAGCTGTTATGACTTTGCCTATCACCCGGTTTCGGCTTGGCGTCGACTTCTGGGACACCCTGTATAACTGGGGTGAATATGATTGACAAACTACGTGTGGAAATGGAGGAAGCTGCTGCATTCAGTTGGTAAAGGTACTCGGCTTTAAAAGCCTCGCCTTGGATAGTTACGAGTCTTTGAATCTAATGGATACAGAGAAATCAAAGAGGAGAGAAATTCGTTTGAGTCAAATTTGTGAGGGATTGGTTATGTAACATCAGTCAAAGTACTATAGATGAAAAAACAACATTCCTCTTTATCGTCTATACAACTTAGATGCACAGATCTCAGGTGGAGTTTCGAACAATGTACATACATACACAAACATATTAGTTTGACCTAATATACTCTCTTTTGGATCATACTTATCGTTGAATACGATAGCTGGAATGAAAGTGTATCCAACTTCCAAAGACTTCACACCATTTGCTACTAGGAGTTGACTTCCTCTTGTGTCGTAACATTGTTTAATTTCTTGGTAAGGAATTGTTGCGTTTTCAGCACACTGCAATTGTAAAGTAGGTCTTAGTAAATATATACACCAGAGTGGTTCATTTTTCCCAAGATTATGATTTTAATATGACTTTTTTCGTTCTCTGGGTCTTAATGGTACAAAAGGTATACCCAATGTCGCAAATATTTGATTATATTTTTTGGAAGTACGAAAACCTACGGTATCGTCGGAATTTATTACTTTTATAGGGAAGACATGCCATCTAGTCAGAAAGTTCTTCGTCGTAGGATAAATGACAAAAGCACCTCTCTTTCAGCGGTGATTTTAATTGGGCAATAGTAGCAATAAAAATATATGGATTCTCTAACATCCAACCCTAAGCTAATGCCTGTTTTTTTTGGTACTGAAATGACTTGTGCCTTATGATGCAGACTTCCCGAAATGTCGTATACATGTTTTTTGTATCCTCTAAACTCAGAGGATTAGCAAAGTAATGTAAAAATCACAACTTCGGGAAAGGTGAAGTACCTTAATATACATGGTAGCACCAACAAAAACTTCCAGAGCTTTAAAACAAGTATCTATGCCAAGGTTTGTCCAAAAACTGTAACTATTCATTATTAAATCAAATCAATGTTAGTGAAGCGAGCTTCACTTTCATCGTTAATCCGTAGATCCTTATTGAAAATTTGTTTATATACTAAGTGACATATAAATCCGAACACTCAGGTTAAATGGTTTTATTTTAATAAAAGTTGGTGAATGTATTTATCTTACTGTAAATAACAAGTGAGAAAATTTTTAGCCTTATCAGTTGGACATTCAGGTTCTAATACTGCTTTTTTTTAATTCACTAACGCTCTAAAAATGAATATTTCAGCCGCAGTAAAGAATCAACGTTGGCCGATTTTGGTTCTTGACATCCTTTACGATCGGTTACGATGCTTAGAGTACGGAGACCTGTACGATTTCGTCAACTTAGTGAGTTTGATAGGGGCCGTATAGTGGGACTTCGGGAAGCTGGACTTTCTTTTCGGGCAATTGCAGTTAGAGTGCAAAGAAGTTTAGACAATGTGGTTAGGTGTTGTCAGGCATGGCTTCGAGAAGGCCGTACGCAAAGGGCAAGGCGCACTGGACGCCGCCGTAGAACAACAGACCGTGAAGATCGCCGCCTAAAATTATTGGCCTTAAGGGACCGTTTCTCCACTACCAGGTCCATTGCAAATGAATGGTTTGCAGAACACGGAAGACCTATTGGCATGCGAAGTGTTTACCGACGGATGAGAAGTTTTGGCTTGCTTTCAAACCGGCCACACTGGGTCCTCCCTTTAACTCGAGAACACCGACGTAATCGCCTTGAGTGGTGCAGACAACGGTCACTCTGGGATCAGGAATGGAACAGTATTGTCTTTAGTGACGAGTCTCGATTTTGTTTAGGCATGCACGATGGTCGTGCCAGGGTTAAAAGGCGACGTGGAGTTATGGTTTGGGGTGCTATAGCTCATGGTTCCAGGTCACCTTTAATCTTCATCAGAGGTAACATAAACGTGCAGCGTTATATCCACGAAGTTCTAGAACCCCATCTTTTACCCTATCTTGACATCCTGGCAGATCCAACTTTCCAACAAGATAATGCCCGACCACATATTGGAAGAGTCACAATAGACTTCTTTCAACATAATGATGTCACATTGTTACCATGGCCACCAAGGTCTCCCGACTTATCCCCAATTGAGCACGTGTGGTATATGATGGGTAGGAGATTGCTCAATTTGCAACGTCCTCCTCAGACTCTAGAAGCACTTCGAGAGGAGTTGGTGGTTGCCTGGAATGAGATACCACAGGAGGACATTGACCACCTGATCAGAAGCATACCTAGGCGCGTTGGAGAATGTGTAGCACATCAGGGTGCATCCACACATTATTAAAGGTCAAAGGGCTTTGAAGCAGTGCAATCATTTTGAAATTTTTTTCATTTACTTATTATGCTTCATTAAGTACTTATACAAAATTTTGTTAAAATAGAACCATTTAAACTGAGTGTTCGGATTTATATGTCACTTAGTATAAATCCTGTAGAGTATAAATTACAGGGCGTTCAATTTAATAAAAAACAAAATCCGGCCCTTGAATTAATTTTGAGTTTACAAATACATCTTCGGTTCAATTATAAATATTATAATGTAAGATTTTGATGAAACCATGTTGACAACCCTTGAAGTTTTGAGTTTTGTGCGACATAAGCTGCTAAAGTAAGATATTAGAATTAATAAAAAAAATAACTCAAGATCCAAACTTGGTGCAATCAATCTATTTTATTGATCAATCTGCAGCATTCATGGACTTGTTTGTACATACATAAATATTTTAATATCCCGATTAAGACGGAGTTTGAAGGTTTTGTTTTTGACAAAAAACAGAAAAGTGAAAGAAACGAGTTCAACCCTCGATTTTTTCAACTATCCGTCTAGTTTCAATTCGCTCTTCGGTAATTATGTAATCGAACAAAATTTCAACAAAATCAAACTTTTATTCCCTGAAGGCCTTGGTCCAAATTACCTACCATTTGACTATGTGCATTTGAGCACGGAGCACCCTGCATACATATATACTAAGTGACATATAAATCCGAACACCCAGTATAAATGGTTTTATTTTAATAAAATTTTGTGTAAGTACTTAATGAAGCATAATAAGAAAATGATAAAAATTTCAAAATGATTGCACTGCTTTAAAGCCCTTTGACCTTTAATAATATGTGGATGCACCCTGATGTGCTACGCATTCTCCAACGCGCCTAGGCATGCTTCTGATCAGGTGGTCAATGTCTCATTCCAGGCAACCACCAACTCCTCTCGAAGTGCTTCTAGAGTCTGAGGAGGACGTTGCAAATTGAGCAATCTCCTACCCATCATATCCCACACGTGCTCAATTGGGGATAAGTCGGGAGATCTTGGTGGCCATGGTAACAATGTGACGTCACTATGTTGAAAGAAGTCTATTGTGACTCTTGCAACATGTGGTCGGGCATTATCTTGTTGGAAGGTTGGATCTGCCAGGGTGTCAAGATAGTGTAAAAGATGGGGTTCTAGGACTTCGTGGATATAACGCTGCGCGTTCATGTTACCTCTGATGAAGATTAAAGGTGACCTGGAACCATAAGCTATAGCACCCCAAACCATAACTCCAACAGTGTGATGAACATGTCTTTCAACAAAAAACTGTGGATTCCTCCTTTCACCACGTCGCCTTCTAACCCTGGCACGACCATCGTGCATGCCTAAACAAAATCGAGATTCGTCACTAAAGACAATACTGTTCCATTCCTGATCCCAGAGTGACCGTTGTCTGCACCACTCAAGGCGATTACGTCGGTGTTCTCAAGTTAAAGGGAGGACCCAGTGTGGCCGGTATGAAAACGAGCCAAAACTTCTCATTCGTCGGTAAACACTTCGCATGCCAATAGGTCTTCCGTATTCTGCAAACCATTCATTTGCAATGGACCTGGTAGTGGATAAACGGTCCCTTAAGGCCAATAATCTTAGGCGGCGATCTTCACGGTCTGTTGTTCTACGGCGGCGTCCAGTGCCCCTTGCTCTTTGCGTACGGCCTTCTCGAAGCCATGCCTGACAACACCTAACCACAGTGTCTACACTTCTTTGCACTCTAACTGCAATTGCCCGAAAAGAAAGTCCAGCTTCCCGAAGTCCCACTATACGGCCCCTATCAAACTCACTAAGTTGACGAAATCGTACAGGTCTCCGTACTCTAGGCATCGTAACCGATCGTAAAGGATGTCAAGAATCAAAATCCGCCAACGTTGATTCTTTACTGCGGCTGAAATATTCATTTTTAGAGCGTTAGTGAATTAAAAAAAAGCAGTATGAAAACCGGAATGTCCAACGGATAAGGCTGAAAATTTTTTCACTTGTTATTCACAGTAAGATAAATGCATTCACCAACCTTTATTAAAATAGAACCATTTAAACTGGGTGTTCGGATTTATGTGTCACTTAGTATACATGTTTATCTACATGTCTGAGACATGTCTGTTGTAGTTTGCCTTGATTGGGCTCAAAGAATGTAGTTCAAGGCCTGACTATTACGAACCTTTTGTATAACTATGTAGGGATCGTGCTCCATTGCACTACACCTGAGAAATTGCAAAGCCTTTATTCCAGGATGCATGTCAACGACGCAGCTATGAACCTCATTAGTGGAACATTCCTTGGGTCCAAACCTACATCCAAAGTCGTACTTCCCATCCTCCTTTGACATCTGAAACGTTAGTGAAGCTATTAGCAAATTAAAGTACTGAGTATACATCTTACACTTTGAATCTGAGAGACAGAACCGCTTTGATCGGAGAAAAATCAGATGCTAGAAACAGCAGTACCCAAGCCTAAGTAACGTGATGATACAGTATAGGGCCACTAGGATCACTCTGGTTGATATTTGCCAGATTAGTGGATTTTAGGCTCACGCAGAACAGCTCAGGTTCTAGCATCAATATGGCCACATGGGGTCGACTCCTGCCTGGAAACCAGCTACACGCGTTAAATGGCAACGTCGAATATTGCATTGGATTTTTTTTATACTCCAACTACCACGAGGGCCTAAGGCCTAAACACCCATGGGGTACCGTGGGGCTAAAGGGGATACAGGGGAAAGGGGGAACGCCACACTGACTCTGGCATTCTGGTCCCGCCTACCAGATCCGCCGGGTGGTACCTCCGCGTTCGACAGTCAGAGACCGTCTACCACCTAGGAACAATCACAACAACCATAGCCAAGAGCAAAATTTCTCCTGGGACGGGATTCGAACCCGCACAACGCACGACGACTGATCAGGAGACCGAAGAGTCTACTACTGCGGCCACCGCTGCTGCGTAAGTTCCACAAAGCCGCAAAATCACAGAACTAAATATTTCGCTGGCCATCGTTTAGTACCAGTGTCACCACTGTCACCTGCGCTGTCGCCACTGTCAATATGTTAGCACTGCATTTCCGCTATTTTTTCATAGAAATGTATGTAAAAAAGAATGGTAGAACCGTGGAATTGGTGAAAATATGGGTTAGAAGTACATAGCTATATTTTGTGTTTAAACACATTTCCAGAAATGTACATACAGTAGCCATAATCAAGAAAATCGGGGCCGAGATAAGGTGACGGGCTCACCAACGAATGCTCTTTGAACAGCACAAAATAATGTAGAAAAACCACATCTGTACATCTAAGGTAATCAAACCTTCGCAGAATACGTGTACTGAATAAGCACTAATTGGAATTTGGGTTGCGCTGCATTTAAGACAACCGCGCTACGAGTAGAAATACACCTCCCAATCCAGCTACCTTCCCTGACTCCTAAATGCATTGTTCTATAAGTGCTGTATCAGTCCCAATGTTTGGGCATGACGAAGCTGTCTGCGCGATGGGTGCCGCTTTTCTCGACCTTGGACAACAAGCGCAGCCATGAGACCATTTGGCGCTGTATAAGCTTAATCCGAAGGAGTTTCTGTGTCGTTTCGTGGAAGTCGATATAACATGGAATCACTGGTACACACCAGAGACCAAGGAACAGTAGAAGCAGGCGCACATGCTCCGAAGAAGGTGAAGACTGTCCTATCGGCGGTGATGACCACCGTTTTCGGGAATTTACAACGTGTGATCTACATTCGCTACCTGGAGAAGGGCAAAACAGTCACAGGGCTCTACTACGCCGAATTACTGAGCCGCTTCGACGCCGAATTGCAGAAAGGACGTCCCCATTTGGTGAAGAAAAAAGTGCTATTCCACTATGAAAACGCACCGCCTCGCACCTCCGGCGTCGCCGCCGCCAAATTGTTCGAATTAGGCTATGAACTGCCGCCTCATCTACCGTATTATCCAGATTTGGCCCCGTGCGACTTCTCTTTGTTTCCAAACCTTAAAAATTCGCTCGCAGGGCAGAAATTTGAGTCGAATGAGCAGGTTGTCACCGCGATGGAAGCCTACCTTGCAGCCCTCCAGTAAACGAATTTGTCAGACGGGTTAAAGAAATTGTAGCATCGCTGAGTCAAGCGTATCGACCTAAAAGGAGACTATGTCCAGAAATAAACCGCGACTTTGCCAAAATGTTCGTTTTTCTTTGTAGGCTAAGTACTTATCGGACCTTCCTCGTATACGTATATCTGTCGACTACCGCCACTAGGCGACAGCGTTGCCACCTCTCGGACAGCTTGGTTGCCGTAGGTTATCGTCAGCTTAATATTAAAATCACATAAGTCCACTTTTTGAAGAAAATGAGATATTGGAATTTCGCAAAAAATGCGTAAGCGACATATTCGGCGTCAAGAATTCCACATAACACTCGTCAGTCCATACAAGTTTAAAAGTTCAGGGTTTTGATATGCCTTAGGCCTGTATCGTCAGTCGTCCCTACAATTGTAGTGCGCGTTTATGGCCTCCGAGATTGTAATACTCCTTTCTCTCCTTCCGAAAATTTCTAGATTACCCTTTTCCCGTGTCAGCGTCAGCACTCTCCCATTGTGAAGATATGTTTTCTTTTTAAATTGTAGAAAATTTCAGGCTGATAAAACATGATATAACTCAAAAGCAAGCACAATTTCAAAATAGAGCGCTGACACGGAGAAGTAGAAACCAATGACAATCAAGGAGGCCATGAAGGCGCCCTACAATTGTAGGGACGACTGACGATACGGGCCTAAAGTAGTAAATTTGCACAGCAAATCAACAAGGCTCGGGTTTGTTTTATAAACGTTACCATGGATACCACAACACAACCATTTTGACTAACGTGCAAATATGCCGTATAAAATAGTTGTACAAACGTTTATGCAACAGTTAAAAATTTGTCCTATAAGGTGTTGTATAACTATGCTATAAGAATATTTTAAACACCTCATTTTAGAGCAAATATATTGCAGAAAGCAAATTTGCATTCCACTCAACATTAAGCCAGCATTTTTGTGTTCAGGCAACAACAATAGAGAGCTTTTATGGCTGAACGGTTCTTTTACCAAAAGCTTCTAGCACTACTATGCTAGTTGGGAGGTTGTCACCGCGACGGAGGCCTACCTTGCAAACCTCCAGTAAACATCTTTGTCAGACGAGTTAAAGAAGTTGTAGCATCGCTGAGTCAAGTGTATCGACCTAAAAGGAGACTACGTCCAGAAATAAACCGCGACTTTGCCAAAATGTTCGTTTTCCTTTTGTAGGCTAAGTACTTATCGGACCGTCCTCGTATATCTGTCGACTACCGTCATTAGGTGACAGCGTTGCCACTTCTCGGACAGTTGGGTTGCCGTAGGTTATCGTCAGTTTAATATTCAAATCACATAAGTCCACTTTTTGAAGAAAATGAGATGTTGGAATTTTTAGTTGATACTATGTGACGCGCATGTCCGAAGATTTCTTCATAACTCGCAAAAAATGCGTAAGTGACATATTCGGCGTCAAGAATTCCACATAACACTCATCTGACCGACAGTAACATCACACAAGTCCATACAAGTTTAAAAGTTCAGTGTTTTGGTATGCTTTAATGCAGTCTATGCATGTCTGTTGTTGGCGGTAGTATACTAAGTGACATATAAATCCGAACACCCAGTTTAAATGGTTTTATTTTAATAAAATTTTGTATAAGTACTTAATGAAGCATAATAAGTAAATGATAAAAATTTCAAAATGACTGCACTGCTTTAAAGCCCTTTGACCTTTAATAATGTGTGGATGCACCCTGATGTGCTACGCATTCTCCAACGCGCCTAGGCATGCTTCTGATCAGGTGGTCAATGTCCACCTGTTTTATATCATTCCAGGTAACCACCAACTCCTCTAGAAGTGCTTCTAGAGTCTGAGGAGGACGTTGCAAATTGAGCAATCTCCTACCACATCATATCCCACACGTGCTCAATTGGGGATAAGTCGGGAGATCTTGGTGGCCATGGTAACAATATGTTGAAAGAAGTCTATTGTGACTCTTGCAACATGTGGTCGGGCATTATCTTGTTGGAAAGTTGGATCTGCCAGGGTGTCAAGATAGGGTAACAGATGGGGTTCTAGAACTTCGTGGATATAACGCTGCGCGTTCATGTTACCTCTGATGAAGATTAAAGGTGACCTGGAACCATAAGCTATAGCACCCCAAACCATAACTCCAACAGTGTGATGAACATGTCTTTCAACAAAAAACTGTGGATTCCTCCTTTCACCACGTCGCCTTCTAACCCTGGCACGACCATCGTGCATGCCTAAACAAAATCGAGACTCATCACTAAAGACAATACTGTTCCATTCCTGATCCCAGAGTGACCGTTATCTGCACCACTAAAGGCGATTACGTCGGTGTTCTCGAGTTAAAGGGAGGACCCAGTGTGGCCAGTATGAAAACAAGCCAAAACTTCTCATTCGTCGGTAAACACTTCGCATGCCAATAGGTCTTCCGTGTTCTGCAAATCATTCGTTTGCAATGGACCTGGTAGTGGAGAAACGGTCCCTTAAGGCCAATAATCTTAGGCGGCGACCTTCACGGTCTGTTGTTCTACGGCGGCGTCCAGTGCCCCTTGCTCTTTGCGTACGGCCTTCTCGAAGCCATGCCTGACAACACCTAACCACAGTGTCTACACTATACGGCCCCTTTTTTATTTTTTATTAAAATAAAACCATTTAAACTGGGTGTTCGGATTTATATGTCACTTAGTATATTTGATACTTGTGCATGTTTAGCATGGGGTAAAACTCTTAATCAGTAGAATAAGGTAACAGTACCATGTTAAATCAGGATTATATTAAATCAGATGTTGGATTGTCTTGTAAACGGAAACTACAGAGTTATGTGATTTTATCGTCCAGACTTATTTGATTTGATCATCATAGATATAAAATATAAACATTTCAGACATGGAATAGTTTTACCCATCTCCTCTAAAATCAGTGGTATGGGACTTGTGTGCTTTGCATATTAAGCCGACGTTATGCGATTTGCTTTTCGCTGAAAAATTCTAAGAATACGTAACCTTAGGAATAATCACGAGAGTGACTGGACGGTTGTCTTTCCTTGGAAGGTTAATGTCATGTTCAAGACCTTGAAATGAAGTTTTTATTGCTTCCGAGTGAATCACTGCGATCCTACTTGGCCAACTGTCTTTGACGACGAAAACTGAAAGCAAACGGTAGCTATACTTACCCTCGCGTTACCGAATGGTATAATTTCTATATCCAGGTAATCCTGTAATTTTTCATATGTAGGGTATAGCTGCTCCTTGATAAACTTTTTAGACATTGGGTCGTATGACCCGTAGTATAGTGACACTTTAAGCTTACTTACACCTAAAAAGCAAATCGCAATGTCTCAATGGAATGCAAGCAATTTATACTGGGTGACAAAATAAAGGTAAACATTTACGTATGTTTATCCGATTCATCGTCAACGATTTCTTAAACACTCATTGACACGCCTGGACGTCGTGCCGATAAGGTGGTCGATATCCTCCAGGCTACTGGAACTTCGTTAGTAAGAGCTGCTTAAGTCTGTGGAGGGTGTTGCAAATTGAAGAGCCTGCGACCAAGCATGTCTCATACAAGCAATAGCACCCCATACCATAACTCCCACGGTTGGTGAACGTGATGCTCTCTGTCAAATTGTGTGTTGGGTCTTTCACCACGTCGTTAAAGACCACCTGGTTCCATTCTCGGTCTCATAGGATTCTTTCTCTACACCAGAACAAACGGTTTCGCCGGTGTTCAGGTGTGAGAGGTAGCACCCAATGTGGGCGATAAGAAAAGAGGACAAACTGTCGTATTCGGTGATATACCTTACGCAGACAAACCATCCTTCGAGCAACCCGACAATTCGACCCCGCTCAAAGTCGCTTAGCTGGGACACCTGGCGAATCCTACGCGTTTTAGGCACTTTGAGCAACCACAAAAAGGCTTCCCAATAAGCTACACGAAATTTGACATTCAACAGACACCGTAAATGCACGGAATCACCAAACAATATACGCAGCCACCACAAGACTTATCAGCAAAGCCTGACCATTTTATCACTTGTTGTTTACCTTTTTTTGTCACGCAGTGTATTTTGTTAATTTGACCAATTTTTCAAGAAACTCACACTCAACATGACTAAATCGGAATAACACCAGTACAATCGACCCGGAGAAGATGAATCCTAGTGTATAACTCATTTTTAATGCAGATTTTACATGTACGGATGACGAACAAAGCGAGACACGTACTCGTATGATACCCGCCGCTCGATAACACGCTGATAGTATCATGAAGCCATATATGACTACTACTCAAACGACAGTTTTTTTTTGTATCTCCTTTGTAGATAAACCATCAAGGCGAATGATCAGTAATAATAAGTCTAGATACAAAAATGAGCGTCCAAACTTGCGAAATACGCTTCGAAGTCTTATAGGGCTTTGTATTTAAATTTAGAAACCTGAAGCTTGAAAATGGCCTATATCAGGATTTTTTCGATTTTGAATCTCTTGTAACTTGAAAACGGTCAACGTTACAGAAAAGCTACTTAGGACCTTATTTATTCAAAATGATCCAAAAAACCTAAACCTGTAATATCATTTCTCTACCTGTCAAAAATGAATTAATATTCTACGTAAGGCGCCATCTGCTTGAGCTAACACAGTAGCGCCACAAACCTCTTACAATTTCCGGCCTCCAAAACTACCGAATTGCAATGTTGCATAAGCGCCTAAGGTGATTCGAAAAGCATCTAGGTAACGTCAAAATAATGTAGGCTATAGAAGAGAAGCGTCACTCCGTCGTTAAGGTAGTTTTTGGCTGGGTGTCTTAAATGACATTGTGGCATCAAAAATTCTTCATGCATTTTAAGTGCGCCGTCTCTGATACAGCGCGTAGTGAGGATTAATGTAAACATCCAGGTAATGAAGGTCACCTACAGTTACTTGATCGCAGAACACTATCAGCAGTGTTTCACGTGTCGCTAAGCAAGCAGGAAGAGGTGTCGTGGTATTCTGATTCGCCGCCAATGATGTAAGGAGTATTGTTATTTCAACATATTTGTAAAATATCGTCCATTTAGTTCCAGCACCACGTAACTAAAAAAATAAACTTACTAAAATGCATAACTATGCACTTACTCGAAAAAGGCTACCGTGACTGCAGAAACGTCGTAAGCAGACAGCATTCCAAGCATATTATGAGGTTCAATTCGATAGCAAATCCAAAGACCCACCGTTATTTTTGCTCTCCGATAAAGCTGTTAGTTTTAGTTGCCTTGTGTTAGAACCCAAGCGACATGAGAATTTCTTATTATTGAACGGTCTTGGTGTACTTATCCATTCAACATTTTTGTATGATTCATGAGTTTTGGCAGTACCGAAAAGAAATATAATTCGACACAAATTTAATAGTTAGTCTTACATACTACGTCAATGAGCAATGACATTTTAAAAGTATTTTGAGCCTTATATTTTATAGAGTTACATGATATATCCAAAGAGTATGGATTTCTTGTCCATACATCAATTGTTGATTGTTATAAGTTTGCGAGAAAATAAATGTTCCGTTTTTTTTTTACTTTATTTTATACTCTTTAGTCTTTTGTGCGTTATTCATTTTCACTGAAACATAAATATGAATTTTTGAAAAACAAGCAGCATACGCTTTCTGGATACATTTATCAATATGAGTCTTGAATTTAAGATATGAGTCAAATTATACTCCTAAGTTTCTTACAGTGGCTGCCCGAGGTGTTCTTATTTTAATTTGAAAAGTGAACTCAATATTGTCTTTCAATCTGCCAATTAACAAAGTTGTGACTTAGCATTAATATGTAGATCATGAGTTTCAGAGAATACAAATATCCTTTGAACATGTCACATTATAGGCGAAGGCATATAAAGCTAGACTTAGGAAAACAACATATATACGGCAAAAACAATATTTGTGTATGTACACGATCATGATGCCATTCTCAGGGTTTTGACGTAACAGGGGATATTTGCGTTTCTCGGATGTTCGTGTTGAATTAGAGTAAATATTCAAGCTGGAAACAACACGTGAGGTTGTCTAATCTATAAGATTGCGACTGCTTTTATTTATCAAAATAAGATGATACTCTAGTAAATATTTATCAGCAGTCCAACTCAAGCATCGACTCTGATCGTTTTATAGATATTCGTTTATCTTTTTAATATTAAATTAAATTTTGATATATACGGGGTGTTCGAAAAATAGACGGAGATAAGAGGGTGATTCCGTGTTGAAAAATGAGAACAAAGGTTTCTATAAACATGGGTCCGGAAATGCTGAATATCTTAAAAAATATTTACTGTATTCTGTTGCAATTTGGCAATATTATTTGTTATATTTAGAAGCTAATTTAGCCATAAACAGATTAAAATTATCAAGTGACAGTAATGGTGTATTTTTCAATCAGAAAAACCGAGACAAAAACTTTTTTGAGAAAATTTGCAAAGAAAATTAAGTGAATAATTCTTATTTATAAGAACGGACGCGCAAATTTCAAACCTCCATACAGAAGTGATTTTTTCAGCAAGAATTAAAAAACCAATTACCGATTACAAAGTGAGATATGAAAAAAATACAAGTGGTCAAAGATATGTAGTTTAGGATGCTTGATCAAACAACACATATTAAGGTAACAAAGAAGGTAGTGGCGTACATTTTTTGCCAATAATATTCCCCCGGGACGCCAATGGACCTAATAATTTCTGTCTATTTAGGGCTAAATTAGCTTCTTATTATAACAAATAATATTGACAAATTTCAACAGAATCGAATAAATATTTTCTAGGATAATTTTAAGAAATTTATATGTTGACCCTTTAAGATATCTCCGCCTTTTTGAACACCCTGTATAATCAGGGTCGACACAGAGGGTCAACGATAGACTAGATGGCAGTAAAATCCACTCAGAAGATCTGGTAAAACAGAATCTAAGAGTGATCTAATAATGATAAAACATTAACGAACTCTTCTCAGATCTGACGCCGTTATGTAGAAGTTTTCTGAAAATGGTATTTTTGTCTTCCAGTAAAATACTTCTGAATACGAGGCGATGAACACTCTCAATAGGCGTATCACAGGGTTAGTCAGGAACTATAAATATTTAAAGGTAAGCAACTTGAACCCTCAATTTAATATACATTGTCACATTTGAGTTTTACAATCAGCAGGAGCATCACCAAGGAAGGAACAAGTCAGTTGCTTCATACTCGTGGTTGCAATCATGCTGTTCATGACATCGTAGGTACCGTCGAATGCAACTGCAGGAACAGTTGCATAACCTACTCCTCTTGATCTATCTGCATTTGCCGCTAGGAGTTCGTTCCCTTTGGTCTCTTTGCAGTGCTTTAGACGATTGTAGGATATACCTGCGTCCTTGGCACACTGAAATCAAGATTGAATTCGTATGTTAGATCGTCCCAATAGCAAAAGAATGTAACTGTCAACTCCGATTATCTACTTCTTGCAGGCATACTAACCATTTTGATAACATCGTCTGATGCGGGGTCATCCTGCGAAAAAGTGCACGTTGCGAAAGCCAAAGCTGTAGCTGTCGGAGCGATTTTAACTGCGCAGCTATGGTATGCATTGCCATAGCATTCCTTAGGGCCATGTTGACATTCGATTTCCCATTTGTCCCCGTTTTTCTCGGCCTGCAATTGAAAAAAAAGAGGCTTATTGCGATGCTTTCAGAACACTCTTTGGTGGGCAATAGAAATAATGATAATAGTAAATTGCCTTTATTCGATTCTTTTACAATATGTATGCAACCAACAACAATAGACGAATGAGCCACTAAAATTTAGAGAATAGAATCGGTAGACTGACGTTTTTCAACCTAGTACCTAGTTAAAATGAACCTCTTCAGACAGTTTAAAGTTACAACAAGAGGAATGAATATATACTAAGTGACATATAAATCCGAACACCCAGTTTAAATAGTTTTATTTTAATAAAATTTTGTATAAGTACTTAATGAAGCATAATAAGTAAATGGAAAAAAATTCAAAATGATTGCACTGCTTTAAAGCCCTTTGACCTTTAATAATGTGTGGATGCACCCTGATGTGCTGCGCATTCTCCAACGCGCCTAGGCATGCTTCTGATCAGGTGGTCAATGTCCTCCTGTGGTATCTCATTCCATGCAACCACCAACTCCTCTCGAAGTGCTTCTAGAGTCTGAGGAGGACGTTGCAAATTGAGCAATCTCCTACCCATCATATCCCACACGTGCTCAATTGGGGATAAGTCGGGAGATCTTGGTGGCCATGGTAACAATGTGACATTATTATGTTGAAAGAAGTCTATTGTGACTCTTGCAACATGTGGTCGGGCATTATCGGTTGGAAAGTTGGATCTGCCAGGGTGACAAGATAGGGTAAAAGATGGGGTTCTAGAACTCCGTGGATATAACGCTGCGCGTTCATGTTACCTCTGATGAAGATTAAAGGTGACCTGGAACCATAAGCTATAGCATCCCAAACCATAACTACAACAGTGTGATGAACATGTCTTTCAACAAAAAACTGTGGATTCCTCCTTTCACCACTTCGCCTTCTAACCCTGGCACGACCATCGTGCATGCCTAAACAAAATCGAGACTCGTCACTAAAGACAATACTGTTCCATTCCTGATCCCAGAGTGACCGTTGTCTGCACCACTCCAGGCGATTACGTCGGTGTTCTCGAGTTAAAGGGAGGTCCTAGTGTGGCCGGTATGAAAACAAGCCAAAACTTCTCATTCGTCGGTAAACACTTCGCATGCCAATAGGTCTTCCGTGTTCTGCAAACCATTCATTTGCAATAGACCTTGTAGTGGAGAAACGGTCCCTTAATGCCAATAATCTTAGGTGGCGATCTTCACGGTCTGTTGTTCTACGGCCACGTCCAGTGCCCCTTGCTCTTTGCGTAGGGCCTTCTCGAAGCCATGCCTGACAATACCTAACCACAGTGTCTACACTTCTTTGCACTCTAACTGCAATTGCCCGAAAAGAAAATCCACCTTCCCGAAGTCCCACTATACGGCCCCTATCAAACTCACTAAGTTGACGAAATCATACAGGTCTCCGTACTCTAGGCATCGTAACCGATCGTAAAGGATGTCAAGAACCAAAATCCGCCAACGTTGATTCTTTACTGCGGCTGAAATATTCATTTTTAGAGCGTTAGTGAATTAAAAAAAAGCAGTATAAAAACCGGAATGTCCAACTGATAAGGCTGAAAATTTTTTCACTTGTTATTTACAGTAAGATAAATACATTCACCAACTTTTATTAAAATAAAATCATTTAAACTGGGTGTTCGGATTTATATGTCACTTAGTATAGATATTATCCGCAACGTATTGTTGTAATGTTTAGTAAAAATAGATAGAGATATTTTATCGTTTCGATTTATATAAAAACTATTCAGGAAGATTGGGTCAACAGAGTGGCTAGGGTGTGATTTATGTATCGCTAATTACGCTTTAAACTTCTTTTTAAAACTACCCAAAGCATAATCACGAAAATCAAATGGAACGCTATTGTACAGCTTGGCAGCAGTATAAGGGAAGCTCTTTTGCAGAAAGAGGTGAAGTATTTAGGTATAACTAATAACTGTCCATTTCTGGTAGCCAAGCTATTGATATTTTCAGATTTGTTGAGTTTATTTAGGGGGTATTATTGTTTCCTATTCACTAAAATCGGTTGAACTAAACATAAACTCTGGCATTTTCTGAGACTTTCTATGTTCTCTGTGTAAGCACGGCTTATATCATCAAATTTCCGTAGACCTAGAGAAAAACGGTAACAAGAGTTTTGTAGTCATTGCAACTTTATCATTTTTTATTATAGCTAAGTCATATACACTTGAGCAGTGTAAAATTCTTGAGATTATAGGAGCATCGCATTAAAACATTTTTAATTTTCTTTTTAATATGTTCCTTTGGAGATATAATTGTTATACGATTTTGAGCACAATTCTTGAGAACATGGAAAACAAATTTTAATTCACTGTCAAACCCTAAACCTAAATGTTTGCTAACAATAACAGTTGCTAATGAAATGCTATTAATTGCTGATTGTCATAGATTTTCTGTTATACTACGCTTGTGTGTTGACACAAAAATTATGATATTGGTTTTATTTGCACTTACTGCTAACGTGTGAGCTGCTCAGATATCGAAAAGTACGTCCAGATTGCTGTTGATTATGTTAAAAGAAGGAACGACGTTGTTAATAGCGAATAAAATAAAAAATATATAGAACATCCAAGAGGACTGGGAATAGAACCTGGGGAACACACACACATTCATTACTAATAGATACGTATTGATATCTTTTGGTAAGAGAGCTTTTCATTAGTAAAGCAGCAGTAATATTCAAGCTTGGGACACAAAATTCCATGGTCAAGTGTATCGAAAACTTTACTAAAATCTAGTAGTACTAGACAATGTTATCGATAATACAAGCGAGAGCTGTTGTTGTATCACAACAATTTCGGAAACCAGATCGGACTTGTGGTATTGTCGACATATTTAGAAATTTATTGCTCCATGATTTTCTATAGGGTTTTGGGCATATTTGAATAGATTTAGTATATGCTGCTCTGTTAGCTACTGGTAAATTTGAGAAATATTGATTTATTTCATTCGATTTGCTAAGATCTTGGGAAATGGAATGTTAGCTATTTCTTATAACTCCTATCTCACGACGACGTTGCCACATTAACTTAAAGTCCCCTTGTTTGAGTGAAAATTCTATGAATGCTTTTTGTTCACATTGAATTGTATTTTTAGTATAGTTTCTTGCTTCTTTATAATATTCCCAATGAAACTCTAGGTCTGTTTTCTTGAATTTTGAAAATGCTTTTTCTCCGAGTCTTCTAAGTAGTTTTACATTATCTGTTATCCATAGAGAAATTCATGTAGTCACTCTATATTCGTATATGGGACGACAAGCATCAAATATAAGAGTCAACTGCTCTGCCAGAAAGCAAGCCACAGTAAAAGTAGGAGTTAGACCCTAATTGACAGTAGCAAGTGAGTTGCAGAACAATCCGTAATCAAAATGTTGTCATGAACGTTTTTTCACCATTTCATCAGAAAAACTGGCCCACTTTTCTTGCCTATAATACAAGAAACTAGAAGATGATCGAAATTTTCGTATCAGGTGGTGAATTACTTTTATTGTATCACTTACTAAGATTAAATCTAATAGAGTCTGTGAGGTACGCGTAATTCAAGTTTTTGAATCATTAATTGTTTTCAATTAATAGAACCTTAGACTATCCATAAAGTTGTCGGCGATAGATCCCTGCAGAAATAAATCAATACTGCAATATCCCGAAATTAAAGCTTCATCACATGGTGGTATAACTTTTGAAAGTGATTCATCAAGCGAACTCAGAAAATCTCTTGTGTTACACTTGGGAGGTCTATAAGTAACACCTAGAAATTAAATTAAATCTCGAGATTGTAGCCATAATGCAATCAAAAGTTAGAAGACAGAAAGAAAGTTTGCTAAAACTTCATATAAAGCTTTAAAAAATGCTAATTTTGTCCTCCAGGAAAACTTTTAAATACTATTTTGGGACGATCAACCTCAAAAAGGTGTAAAATTGTTCTAAGAGAACAACCGTCATGCTTAATTTTAATAGAATAAGTTTTTTAAACTTCCATAATAAATTCTATTAATGATCAGTTTTTCATCTTGTGATTTGTGAAGTTGTCGTTTTTATTTTTTCTGATTTTTGAGTTTGCTTGTCCTGAAACGCGGTTTCAACTTTAATTTCCGGAGAATAAAATAAAAACTATCGAAATCCTGATACGAACGCATAAACTTTCTTTCTGGCTTTATAGTTTTCGATTGTGTTACGTCTGTAGCTTCAAGATATATATTTCTTCTCCATAACCTCCTCGTTCGCAAAGTTATGAGGATTTATAGAAGCGGGAACATTTGAAGAAATGTGGTTTCTGTGTAGGTAACTTACCGATCCCTTTCCAAATGGAACCAAGTCCAGGTCTATATATTGTGAGAGGGAATCGTATGTCCCTTGCAACTGGTCCCTTATAAAAATTTTGCAGTCAGAACATATGGTTTCATAGTATACTGAGACCTTCACTTTGTCTGCAGCCTGTAACAGATTATAAAATGACTAATCCTACCAGCATTCGTTCCAAAGTTATTTGATGATATTTTTACATTATGAAAAACAAAGAACCATTTATTGTGGACATGTCTGCAGCAAAAGTCGAAGGATTGGTGACCCTATCGTCATATGCTTCTGCTTATTGGCTTTATCGGGCCCAAATGGATGTGCATCAAAAACACCGGAGTGAAAACGTACGCTCGTCCCATCTGGATACAGGTGTAACCTAGATGAAAATAAGCTATATCTGGCATCCGTGGCATCGTAAACACGAGGTACTCTGAGCGAAGCCACAAATGTGCCTGCTGACTAGTGTTGTTGGCTCATAGTTCTATACTAAGTGATATATAAATCCGAACACCCAATTTAAATGGTTTTATTTTAATAAAATTTTGTATAAGTACTTAATGAAGCATAATAAGTAAATGATAAAAATTTCAAAATGATTGCACTGCTTTAAAGCCCTTTGACCTTTAATAATGTGTGGATGCACCCTGATGTGCTACGTATTCTCCAACGCGCTTAGGCATGCTTCTGATCAGGTGGTCAATGTCCTCCTGTGGTATCTCATTCCAGGCAACCACCAACTCCTCTCGAAGTGCTTCTAGAGTCTGAGGAGGACGTTGCAAATTGAGCAATCTCCTACCCATCATATCCCACACGTGCTCAATTGGGGATAAGTCGGGAGATCTTGGTGGCCATGGTAACAATGTGACATCATTATGTTAAAAGAAGTCTATTGTGACTCTTGCAACATGTGGTCGGGCATTATCTTGTTGGAAAGTTGGATCTGCCAGGGTGCCAAGATAGGGTAAAAGATGGGGTTCTAGAACTTCGTGGATATAACGCTGCGCGTTCATGTTACCTCTGATGAAGATTAAAGGTGACCTGGAACCATAAGCTATAGCACCCCAAACCATAACTCCAACAGTGTGATGAACATGTCTTTCAACAAAAAAACTGTTGGTTCCTCCTTTCACCACGTCGCCTTCTAACCCTAGCACGACCATCGTGCATGTCTAAACAAAATCGAGACTCGTCACTAAAGACAATACTGTTCCATTCCTGATCCCAGAGTGACCGTTGTCTGCACCAGTCAAGGCGATTACGTCGGCGTTCTCGAGTTAAAGGGAGGATCCAGTGTGGCCGGTATGAAAACAAGCCAAAACTTCTCATTCGTCGGTAAACACTTCGCATGCCAATAGGTCTTCCGTGTTCTGCAAACCATTCATTTGCAATGGACCTGGTAGTGGACAAACGGTCCCTTAAGGCCCATAATCTTAGGCGGCGATATTCACGGCCTGTTGTTCTACGGCGGCGTCCAGTGCCCCTTGCTCTTTGCGTACGGCCTTCTCGAAGCCATGCCTGACAACACCTAACCACAGTGTCTACACTTCTTTGCACTCTAACTGCAATTGCCCGAAAAGAAAGTCCAGCTTCCCGAAGTCCCACTGTACGGCCCCTATCAAACTCACTAAGTTGACGAAATCGTACATGTCTCCGAACTCTAGGCATCGTAACCGATCGTAAAGGATGTCAAGAACCAAAATCCGCCAACGTTGATTCTTTACTGCGGCTGAAATATTCATTTTTAGAGCATTATTGAATTAAAAAAAAGCAGTATAAAAACCGGAATGTCCAACTGATAAGGCTTTTTCACTTGTTATTTACAGTAAGATAAATACATTCACCAACTTTTATGAAAATAAAACCATTTAAACTGGGTGTTCGGATTTATATGTCACTTAGTATATTTTCCTTTCCATCTTTGTTTCCTTCGAGTTACCAATCCTTCTATCTCAGCGCCAACTAGCAAAGTGGTGCCATGAGTTTTTGGTTAAAGTTTTTAAAACGTTTTAAGAATCCGGACGCGTTGTGGGATTGTGTAGCGCTCCATGATGGATTGGACACATGTGCTTTAAACAACTACTACTTGGCCACCTACTGACGTGAGTGTGTCAGAAATGGCGCGCAATTTAAATCAGTCAATTATGTATTATTTATAATGTACCCTGTTGCTTTACAAGGAAATTTAAGAACAATGTAGGAAATTTGTATTTCAGCTACAACAACTCATCCCAAACTGTTCAATTAGAAATTCCCAGGACATCCAGTAACCATTTTTGGACAGATATTGGGGCATTAGACAAGGCGAGTACTTCGTATTCAGTTCAATCTGAATCATTATCACCTATTGCAAATTCGTTTAAAACATGTTTAGAAAATAGCAAACATTTTGTCTTTTAAATTTCCTGTCATTCTAAACAAACAAGGCCCTTTATTTTTTATTAAATTTCAAATTCAAACTTTCCCCTGCAGGACGTCGAAGTTTATTTTAAACCAATTATTTTAAACCTTGATAGGTTACCAAGAAGTAAGCTGTTGGTTTTCCTAGACAGTACAAGGTATGCCATCAAGGTCATGTACTTACGTGAGAAAAACAAAAAACTGATATGAGAAGAGCAGCACTCGGGACCTTCATCTTTATTGTTCGCCTCGTTGTATCAACACCAATACTAATTGAGTTGTAAATAGTAATGGGCGTATAAATACAGACGTCTCATGTTTAATGATTGAATCGCACTTGTTATCAGCTGAAAGCATTCTAATTTTTAGTTGCAATGTACAATTGTTACGAAAACGCAAATAAATGGGTCAGTCGGGAAAACAACTGCTAAAAAATCTCAAAAAAATTGCTGCGCGTTTATGAGCTAGATGGAAGCTTGTTTTCTAGGTGTGTCGTGTGTGGTTAAAAGGAGAGAGAGCGGAACATAAAGAAGGCCAACTGGTCCACCGAGGCGTACCACAGAGCATCAAGGTAGCCGTTTTGCTACTGGTTTGGAGAGGAACAAGGTTACTATGCATCGCCGCATTCGAGTCTTTGGACCTTTTTGATACCGTCCACGGTTAGTGCTTCCTCTGACTGCGGACCACTGTCGTCAACGTTTGAACTGAAGCAGAGAACGGTAACACAGCTAATCCACGAAGTTCCAGTTGCTTGGAATGAGATGCCGATCATCTCATTTAATCGGTGCCTGGACGTATACAGAAGTGTATTCAGCAGTGCGGTCATCCATCACATTATTAATATTTTTTTTTATTGCTTGTCAATAAAATTTCGGGAGAATGTTTCATTCCTGATGTAGAGCCTCATTGCCAAACAATCAAGTGGAAGAGATTATTTGTTTTGGGTGTCACAAATTATGCAGTAGAATAAGCCGGTAAATTACAACACAAAAAGAAAACCTCAAGGGCGAGCTCACAATGAATGCGCTGTGCCACTCAACCCTTAATCGTATCTACTAGTAGGTATGCATCATAACAGACCATTGCAAAAAGCTTACCAATAAACACGAAAAAATGGATCTATAAAAATGTGACGAAGCGCTTTAATAACTTAGTTTACTTTCAGCTTATAGGTATGTTGCTCTCAAAAGCCTGTATGCTGCTGGAGGGTAGTCGAGACTGTGCTGTCATCTAAAATTTGCATGTGTTAATGGTACTACTCATTGACGTGACAGTTATAATGGGATTTTGGAAGACTCATATAAAATTTAAGTTTCTATTGGATTTCTCCACTGTGGAATATCCAAAAAGAGAATAAATGCGGAATTTTGCAGGGCCATCCTGAATATGGGACTTTGCATTGTTGGTGAAAAAAAGAGAGCTTTGATTGCTCCTCTAGTACCATTGTTGTAGGATTGATCGCTTACACATGCTGGTCTCTAATACTTCCAACGTTTACCGCTATATATAGGGTGTCCGCAAAGTTGGGGTTTTCCTTTTCAGAAACAACTACCCTTGAATTAACAAAGGTAATGCGTAGTGAAACGAGGGCGACCAAGTAAAAAAAAATAAAGGAAGAAGTACTCACTCTCCAGTTGACGAGAAGGGCTAAGTACGTCTCTGCCTGAAATCATACCGCTCCAACAGAAAATGAAATCAGCTGAAGCGCTACCGAGCAGACGCCGGCGGTGGTGCAGACCACGAACAGAGGTAACAAATATGACCATCGTGCAGAAACCACATTGATTGTCTTACACTTAATGGCACATCTTCTAACAAGGAAGGCAAAATGTTGCGTAAAAAGTCTAGGTATTGCATCCCGTCCAATCGATTTGGGGGAATGGAAATGTTTGTTGAAAATGTGCCCGACGGACAGCGTGCGCATTTTCTACTTACCAAACATGAGTGTTGCGAAAGTTATTCACCCCATTACGCGTGAACGTAGATTCGTCTGTCACCAATACGCACTTCAAAAAGTCTGGATTATTGTCATGTTGATGCAACAACCACTCACAAAACCACACTCTTGCTGGAAAATCGTCAGGTTGAAGGGCTTGTACACTTTGGACATGAAACGGATAGCCTCTCTTCACGCAGCGTTTGCCACACTTTAGTTTTTGATACTTGCACTTCTCTAGCCACGTCTCTAGAGATTCTCGTCTACGCGATTACCTCTACATGCGTGACCGTAACCATCGGTTGAAGGTTGCATACTGACACACTGACCCCGACCCAGTTCTGCCGTCGCGTTGAGACCTTGTACCAATCTGTGATGTCCCGGGTCGCGGCTACAGGACGGTATTCAGATATTTTTGATGTTGCAGAGCCCTTTATCTTGGCTCCCTTAAGACATTGGTGTATATGGTACTAAGAAAAATTGCTTATGTTTTCAAGATCTACACGTCGTGTAAAGGAAAACCCCAACTTTGCGGACACCCTATATATACAGGGTGACTTTGAAGTTGAGTCATTAATTTTCAGATAATGATTGTAGGAGGAAGATAAACCAAAATATGTGTGTAAAAATAAAAAAAAATTAAAAAAATTTTTTTACGTTGTTTTATAAAGTATCCTCCCGACAAGTATTTCAGTGCGGACCTGTATTTGATCGTGAGGTCTTGGAGCACCGTCATGCAGTCCCCTGTGTGGTCTTAAGTCACCTGATTCACGAGCCCGTTGTACTACATTAAAAAAGGCACGAGGGGTTAGTTGCACTCGATTGGGAAACCGATCCGCATAAACATGTGCCATTTTTTATTTAGTTTGAGCCACGCAACAGACACCACTATTCAAACGCGTTACCGACTGACACTGACTGTATACAACTGACTAAAATAATTGTAAAAACATCGTTCCAAATTCTTTCGCTTTTTTGTTTTCGATGCAATGAACCAAACACGAGCACATAATATTATTATTGAGACAGGGCGGTACTCAAACTTCCAAAGGGCTATAACTTTGTTACTTTAATTTTACCAGAAAAATGGTAAAGGAAAAAAACATTTCTTTTGATCAGATCTACTCACTGTTAAAATAAATAACTCAACTTCGAAGTCACCCTGTATATATACATATATAAAGTGATTTTTAATGATCTTGGTGGCCAGAACTCTCATATCGTTACAAAAAATTATGAACCCGGGAATGCTCCCTGTTATAGGTAGCTCTATTCCAACGAATCCAGACTAAATTTGAGGTTAGGAATAAGATATCGAGATGCGGCTTCCGCGAGCTTGTTCAGCCATTATTCAGCTACTTTTTCATAAAAACAATCATACCAATGCATTTAATTTTTTTGAGAAAATTAACCATTTCTGTCGGAGTGTTGAAAAGATCCCTTTAACGGGACATGCGAAACTAACAAAACTTTAAACATTATTAAATTTATAGCCCAAGAATACCTCCTTTCAACTAGCCTAAGCCTATTAGAATCGGCTCAGCTGTTTCGGAAAGCTTTGAATACCCCCAGAACTGCATTTTTAGAGATACAGCAAAATTGTCAGACAAAAAAGTTCACATTATCCTGAGGTAATAAGACAATATTTCTCCATCGTATCGTATACATTTTCCAGGTACAAACAAGTAAATCGGCATACTCAGCAAGGTGTATGTGCTTTTAACCCTTGTGACAATAAAAAATCGTATACCGCGCTGTTTCATGCTTTTAGCAACTATCAGTACGATATAGGTTTCGTGATTGCAGACAGACAACGGAAATCAGACAAGCGTATACTGGTTTTCTGACATACCTTTCTCAAAAGTTCGCAGAAACACTGCTACCTATGGGTACAATTATACAGGGTGTCCCAACCATGCGAGGAATGAGTATTGCTTATAAACAAAAACATTCCAAAGAACTATCTGGGGGAACATATTCACAAATTTCAACCCACATAACAAGGTTGACGTTTTTTTTAAACGGAATACAATACTCTCATCGCAAAATTATCCCAAAACTGTCCAGCTAAAAGCCCAACGGTGAGGTACGTGCGTATATGGATGGAAAACTCTTCTCAAAAGTTCGCGAGAACACTGCTACGTAGGGGTATAATTCTACAGGGTATCCCAAACGTACAAGGATGTAAGATTGCTCCTAACCAAAAACTCACAGAACTATCTGGGTGTAAATTAATGAAATAACCACAAATATACAGGGTGTCCCAATTTCAATCACAATAACCAGGTTGACTTTCTTTAAAACGGAATACAATACTCTCATCACATATTCATAAAAATCATTTTAGAAGAAGATTATTGATATAACAAAAATTGGTTATTGACTATTCCCACATTGCCTTACATCACCTGACCTAATACCGATTAGTATTCTGCCTACCCTATCAAAACTCCTAGAACTCATCATGAAAGACCAAATGCTTACCTATGCTATTCAAAATAATATTATTACTAGCTTCCAGTCAGGTTTTCGTCCTCATCATAGCACCTCCACGGCTTTAATGAAGATTACGGATGATCTTATTAGATCAACTGATCAAGGAAATTGCACTTGTCTTGTGTTACTCGGCTTCAGCAAAGCTTTCGACACCTTAGAAGACCACGACACGCTTCTTACAAAATTGATATACTTCGGTTTTTCTTATAACTCGGTTCTACTTCTTGAAAGCTACTTAAAAATCCCACTCAGAGTACAGTTATAGTAGTTGAATAAGGTTTTCGGTGTTTCACAAGGTTAATTTTTCTCAATTACATCATTATGCCGACGAAACCCAGATATATATATCGTTCTCCGCATCCAAAGCTGTTACTGCACAGATTGAACTGAATACAGATTTAAAATCTCTATATAACATATCTATAGCACATAATTTACAGCTAAATCCGAAGAAATCACAAGTCATGATTTTTGGCAATAAAAATAAAAGACCTAATCTGCATGGCACATTTTCAGTTACTATAAATGACGTATCTTTATATATCAGTGAAAACAAAAATCTTGGCATATGACTGGACTCTGATCTAAGATATACAAAACATGTTAGTCACTTGTGCCAAGTCTCCTATAGCGTGTTAAGACAACTGTATCCCAGCAGGAGTATACTATCAAAATTCATGAAGGTCAAACTATGTGAAGCTTTGATTTTGTCTAAGCTGGCTTACTGTGACTGCATATATGGACCTGCCCTTTTGCAAACAGATATTCTACGCATTCAGCGAATTCAAAATTCTTGCATCAGGTTTGCATATGGTATCCGAAAGTATGACCACATCAGTGATATGGATTCTGGTTGGCTTACCATGATTAACATAAGAAAACTTCATTTTCTCACATCAGTACACAAGATCGTTA